GCGTCTTCCACGTAAACATACATAAAATACCCATGATTGGATGACTATAGGAAGTAAGCATCGATTTCTAGTTGGTTGTTCTGATCCAATATTGAATTTATCGGTTAATTAAAGTGCAACGGATCCTATGATTTGCGTGAAATAGAAGCAGCTGATGTTATAATGATTTTTCTCACAGCATTGAAGTTTGTATTGGAAATACCAGGTTTATTATTGTTTTTTTTATGGAGTGAATATTATAAGAATATTAATTTAAAACAAAAGTGTTTTAAAAGAGCCTGGTCTGTTATCCATATTAGCTATAACATCACTACTACTCTTCAAAACAAAAACATGTGTAAGTAGGCAAAATGATAGATAGAGTCTACAGCCAACACATTATGATATTGAAATCATTATAAAATATTTGAAGAGAATCGAGAATAATCTTTATTAACCTGGAGCTCTCAAATATGTACTAAAAGTGCGCGTAAAGTTGGCATGTCTTACATTGTTCATGGAATCTATTTAGTGTTCGATCTTTAGCGGTACAACTATCAGCACAACTCAAGCCAGACCCCACTCCTTGTTCAACGTTGCGGCACCTGATTCTTGTTTGATATGGCTTCTAGGAAACAGGCGTCCATTTTGAATTTTCCTGCTAACTTGAGCAGTGGACGTGTTTTTTTTTGCTCGCAAAACTACACTAGGAAGTAGGTAAATAAAATACTTATTTACTTAGATCTGCCTAATTTGAACAGGGTCTTAAAATGTGATTCACAGCACATCTGTGATTGTAAAAAAGGCAATTGATGCTGGCTGCTCTGACACACGGAGCATAGCGCAGACGTCATCCTTTTTTATTTGTTTTTTTTTCTACACGCAATGAATCAGTATGGTAAGCGTAGTAAAACTATTTGCTAACGCCAGTGTTTTCATAATTCGTTGCGATAACTTGATTTCGTATGCGTGATAGTTCTTATCTCGATGAAATACTACTTCAATGTTCGGTTTATTTCCTTCATATTCGTTCTCGTTGGTGTGAAATAGTAAAACCTTTGTACAAAGGGTTTAATTATCGGTTTTGCTTCACACCACAATAGCCTCGGGCTAATAAATACTAAGTAAAGTGTTCCAATTTTGTTAATGATATACTTTTTTGTTATTTTGTTACGTTTCTTGTTTTACGAATGGGTTTTGGTACTTATACAGATTGCTGCGTATTACATTCTATTGTATTGATTTTCTTTTGTTTTTCAAAATATTTTATGTTGAATTTTCGTCTTCTTTATTATGTCTATAGTGATAAAGCACCAATTCCACGTCGTTAAAAGTAAACCTGATTAAAAAAGTACTTAGTTACTGCGGACGAATTCCATCACGGAGATGCCGTTCGAATCGTTGCCTGCCCTGATATTTCATACCGGCTGATCACAGACCATCAGGTGATCCGTCAACAAACATATTCATAGTATGGTTAGTATAGTCTTAACATACAAAAAGTAAAGGACATAGTTTCCGTTCGGGAATACACACCCAATGACGTGTACAATAAGTGGTCAGTCCTCTTGATAGCAATTCATAAGTGTGAGAATGGAAAGTGACATCATAACTTACAGCTAATATCACTTAAGATAACTATTGAGCATAAGCTGATAGCATTCAAAGAAATAGATTGTGGTTAAGAAAAAGAATCTTAGATCCTTTGTTTTGGCAGCACCAACAAGGAAACACGTCATTCGTAAATTACAGTAAGCAACTCAAGCGCCGTCTGATTCATGATTTCATTAAAAAAAAATGTTCGAGAAACCGCTGCTGCAGCTAAGTCTTAATAATCACAAAAGTTTCCTCTAATCCATTAATTCACGAACGAGTTATTTGTATCATAAACAACACTGCTCCGGAAGACTGCGGTGAAGGAGAGAATGAATGCGTATTTTTTATCTTATAGCCTATAGAATCTTTGCCGATTTTACTCCTCTGGGTGCATAAATACATCTCTAAAGATCTATGTATTTTTTTGGCTAATATCAAATTGCTTTGGCAGGGAAGATGATCCGATCGACACACCTTCACAATAATAGACTATAGTTCTTGTCTCGAGTGGTATATTGTACTCTCATTGTTATATTTCTTTGACCATAAACAAAATTTCATTCATGACGGCCTGCCCAGACGCGGTTATCTTTAAATATATTAAAACCGTTTTGCAGTAAGAATTCAACATTTTGCTATAGATTTGTAGTGTTTTTATACTGATGTATGGAGCATGTGTATGCGCAGGTGAAATTAAACAGTTTTAGAACTAGAACGAGTTTGTATTCCTAGGTTATTAATCCCGTAAGTAGACAGATGCTGGTCTTGACTAGACGTTTAAATCTTACGTAAAAATATGTTATTACTGTACATTTACTTCAGGACCTTGATTTGAACTTTGTTTTAGAAGGAAAGTGTGTAATGTTTTGTGAAAAGACACTTTGTACTTATAAGTAGAAACGAAAACATTCGAGATCCTAACGGTAAAAGCTTTTTTGTTTTACCTGCAAAGCAAAAGCAACAAAATATTGAGCATCTAAACAAAAATAGAAAATTGAGGTAAATATCGTTTTTCTTTACATTCTATGAAAAAGCATTTTCAATACTCCGCTATTTACACTCATAAATTCTGTAATGTAAAACAAGCAGTTTTCCTCTGTCTGAAGAAGCCAGGTTACCGAGCGTAGGTACCTAGACATAATTTTCGATTGAAACTCGAGTTTGCGCACTTAAAAATATCCGGTGTTCAAACGCTGTGTGGACTTACATGAATATTACATTACATTCTGATTTATAAACCTCTTTTTTCGTCTGGAAACCTTTTTTAGGATCCATGTCGAAAAGGGATGTCGAGAGGGATGATTTTGGTTACTAATTTTACGCTGTCTGCCTCCGACGTTCGTGGATTGCTGGGTTTATCCAGAATTCATTCATTATTATAACAAAGAAAAATGTTTTTTGTAGAAAATTGACAACATATACTTGATGTTCTTAAAATTCGACGCACGACACATATTGAACAAACAGCCGTATCTACTTTGATGGTCACGGGTGGCGTTGATAGGTTCTCCCTTCAGGGAAAAACGGTGCTAGTTTACCTCCATCTTATATAAATGTTAGCTTTCCATAATTATTGTCTGCTAGGGTTTCGGGAGCAAGCGCAATCCCGGGAGGTTTTTAGCCGGTAAAAGTGTCACACTGCCCTTCACCCTACCCACGGCAGGCGAAATCAATCAATTATTTTCCCCAATAAGAAAATGCTCCCATACTTGTGTCTGTAAGAAACCTACCTAGTAAGCTGATATCATTCAAAGTTTACCTGCTTTTCCGCTTCGTCTGCCAATAAGTTTTTTGCGAAGTGCAAACATAAATTGTATTGAACTGATGTGTGCGGCTGTACGGTACGCATTCTTGCGCCGCAATGCGGCCAGATGCGGCATGGCTATGCGCTTAGCTTTACAGAAATTTTATTAATGTACATACTAGTGTGTGGTCACTGCGACGCTTGGTGTAGATCTCTATTTCGTATGACACTAACGCATCCGGCATACGACATACAAAATCAGAACGAAATCATTGAAACGTTTTTGCAGCCAACTAGCACCTAATCATACATACAATTCTATGCAATTATGGGCTCTGCTTTTATATACTACCTTACGTCATATGCACTCTTTGTACGACATAAATACTTAGTTCCGGGAACCACGAAGTTTGAATAGAATATTGTACTTAATTTATATTGCATAATGCTAGATGCTCGTACGGTCTCCTTTCTCTCACCCGTTATTACCGTGAAGGTGAATTCAATCGATAATGGCTAAAACAATTAAACTAAAAACGGAAAAATGCAATTCTTTTGTGGCGTGCGTGAATTGAGTTTTTATTGTACCTAGGTAATCTAGTTTTTGACGAGTGACGCCTTACTTTTGGTGTTGGTGCAAAAAGCTGAAGCCGTTACCTATTTTTATACTCTTTGAACTTTATAAATTGTTGAGTCTATCGAGCTAGTCGTTTTTGTTGGATTCAGACTTTAGAAAAACCTAAATATTTAATCATGACTGGCAGCGCTGTTTTCATACAGTTTGTGTAGTCATTGAAAATTTAATCTTTTAGTTCAAGTCCTGTGAGTTAAATCTAAGTAAATTAGTAATGAATGAATGAATGGATAAAGAGGCTATAATCATATATCGTCTAAACAACAGTACTGAGTTTGTTGTCCAAAATTTTCGGTATAAAATCATGAATCTAATAAGTAATTTTCTCCACACGGAACGTAGCCCTATTAACTACATTGTAATTAAATGTTTCGGTAAATTCCGCGGTACCTAATCGTGTCATTTGTTCATTGTGTACGTTTATATTTAACACAGATTGTCGTGACGTACCGACTATGACCCACCTGTTAACTAAATACCGTTATTATATGTACATGTAAACTTATTTACCTTATAATTTTAAACGTATAGCTCTATTGGGCAAACAGATTTATTTATTTTGTACTATGCCAGGCTTCCTGTGTGCTGTTCCTGGCGAAAATAGGTCACTTGCTTTGGATATTGTATGAGGCGACTGAATTGATGTCGGATGAGCAGTGTCCATACTCACGCTAGAGACTGTCTATTCAATCATAACTACGATTCATGTTTTGTTTTTACGCCCATTTATAATAGTGTTAGGCGATTAGCTTGGCTTTATAAGCGTATGCTTCCTACAGTTTACATTCGAATAGTAGCGTCATACATGATTCTCTGAAAAAAAGCACGGGATAATCACAAGAAACTAGACTAGAAAATATTGTTTTATCTACGATGTTGTCTAATTATGAGTTTGAAATCGCCAATCTGCCTTGAGCATGCGTGGTGATTAATTCAAACCTTCTCCGTGTGAGAAGAGGCCGTAGCTCAGTAGTGGGCCACTTATAGGCTGATGATGATGATGATGATGATGATGATGTTATAAACCGATGTTTTTATCAATTCCAGAGTGATTCGGTGAGTTATTTCTTCGATGAACTGGAGCGCATTGCGAGACCTGACTACATTCCCTCCCACCAAGACATCTTGCACTGTCGGAAGGCCACGAAGGGCATCACGGAATGCACCATCAACATCAACAATGTGCCATTTGTATTTGTCGACGTGGGGGGGCAGCGGACGCAGCGGCAGAAGTGGACGCAGTGCTTCGATTCCGTCACGTCCATACTCTTCCTCGTCTCCTCTTCAGAGTTCGACCAGGTCTTGTCGGAAGACAGGTAATTTATTGTTCCATTGCTATTATTTACGACTCCGACCTTTCATTCGAACACATATATTCTTAACCATTAACTCGTTTAAATGATAGTTGTTTAATGAAAGCGAATTAATCAATTTTTAAAAATTACTTTTATATATAATGTTCCTTCTTCCTAAGATTAATATTCCAGCTTCATCTAGTTTTTTATTTTACACTAGCTAATCTCACGCGGTTTCACTCGCTGCTCGACTCCTACAGATCGTTACATGATGTTTTATAGCCTAAAGCCTTCCTCGATAAATGTACCAACGAATACAAAAAAAAAATATTCAGTTAGAATCTGTAGTTCCAGAGATTAGCTCGTTCAAACAAACAAACAAACTCTTCAGTTTTATAATATTATTTAATATAATTTTGACGTGGAAAAGTCCCGTTTTATGGCTTTGACAAAAATTGGCGTTTTATAATGAATATGAATTAATAAAATAAACTGATTAAACTGATAAAATGTAATTACTTAGTGAATTGTCGTTATTAAAGAATTTAATATAGAAATAGCACAAGCGCCGCCCCCGCTCTCCGATCATAAAGCAGTCATACATACCGCACATTACATAAACACATACTCAAAAATAATTATCGTGTAACAGAAGCGTGGGGGTGTACGAAACAACGAAAAAAAAAATTCTGAGCTATTTTTCTATACGAGCGAAAGCTACATATGTACATTACACTTACGTACGTCATTGAAGCAGTCTGTTGTCTAGATCAATGAAGTTTTTCTCAAGCGAAAATTTCTTTTTCCGTTTTCCTAACGTTTCCCTTCACTTCTCTGCTCCTATTAATTGTAGCGTGATGAAAAGTATCTTAAAACCTGCGCAGGAATATAAAGAATAATTGTACCAAGTTTCGTCAAAATCTGTCGAGTAGGTACTTTTCCCTATATAGTTTGATTCACAACATCTGGACTTTGGGTAAACGTAACTAAGAATGGGAGTGATTCAAAGTCAAAGTCAAAGTCAAAATAATTTATTTCAATTAGACCCATACAGGCACTTTTGAACGTTAAACAAAATTTTAAAGATATAAAGTGTCAGTCTTAGATTAACTATGATAGTGACTACTAGGTACTAGCGACTCGCCTCGGCATCTTACAAGTGCAATGCTCATACTAAAGTTCTCCTCTATTTAAAGGATGTTATTATACATACTTATAAACCTCCCTCTTTAATCGTCGCTTCAAAATTCAGTTACTTACGTAGTTTTAATTTCTTAAGCATACATAGGGACAGAGGAAGCGACTTTGTTTTTTTACCATGTTGTGATTATGATAGTGATATTAAAGCAATATGTAATGTCGTAATTTTATTGAATATAGTAGAGTAAATACATATAGTGTTATTACGTCACTTGTTGCTACTTAACGATGTACACATGTAGAATCAGCGGGTGATCGCAGTGACGAGAAAAACGCATTTATATCACATGTATACATTGGGTACGTGAACGTGGGTATTATAACTTATATTTTTACTTAACGCGTATTTGTTTATTTTATTGACGAAATATCGTTACGTCATTGCCTACTATTTTCAATATTACACAAACGGTTCAAATATAGTGTAAGGATTTGTTGCCTTGCCTGTTTTAAAGGATCATATTAGGTACCAGATTTAAGTAAATTTGAATCTAATGTTGCTTTTCGATAGATATGTTAAGAAGCGTTATGTCGCTGACACTTACTTTTCCCCTAGACTTTTCTAATATTTTCTTTGATAAGAACCTTCTCCTTACAATAAATAATAATTATACTAAAAAATTGGGAAAACGGCTCCAGTCTTTGTTGAGTTTAGGTATGTGCTTTATCACACATTTTGCGATTTTTTTTATATATACATAGATATAACTAAAAATAAATCAGTCAATAGATTTTTATATTTCATAAGCAATTAGTATGCATATAAAAGAAAGTTTGTGGTTCCCTGTCAACCACAAACTCGATGGCAAATACAATCGCGGCATTAATCATGGTGTAATGACCTGTCATTGCCCACCATTGCAATACTTTGAACCTTTATATAATAACATGATTAACGTTAAAACATTAATGACGATTTGCACTTATCTCTCATGGGAAAATTCATGAGCAAACATCACTTTTATCAATATGTAAATAAGATTCATATCACAATACAAGCATTATGCCTTTTATATTACTCTAAAAGTATTTTTTAGCCGAGTCAGCATGAAATTAGTGTTTTTAAATCATGGAAATAATATATTATTATATGGTATTATTTCTTAAACCTTTTCCCGTATATATATGCGTAGATGTTGATGAAAATTTGATAAAGACAATTTTTAGGGACTTGATTTTCTTTTCTTTTGTCGGTGTCGTTGGTACGTTTACAAACATAAAATTTTACATACAAACCCAGACCCGGATCAACAATTTGTAAATCATATATTCCGTGCGGCTATGGAACCTGCGGCGCGTTGCGCGGTAGCCATTATCCCAGCAATCGCACCAATCGTGCAGTCTTGAGTCTTAATGTATCTAAGAAGGAAAATATATTTTTATCCAGGATAAACGAATTTAGATTCTCATTTCCCTTAGCTGGTAGGAAACTTATCAATGTATTTGTACAGTAAAAATTAAAAACCAATTGTATGGGTATCTTCTACGACCCAGTGACTCATTGGTCGTCGATGTCACATACAAACGAACGGATATTTGATTTGTCGTGTCGAAGTGCTCGACCTTACCTCGAAATTTGTTTAATATAATAACAATGCACTGACTAAGAGAATTTTTGAAATTGGGTCCCACAAAAGAAAGTTTGGATTAAATTTTACGCTCAATTTAAAAATGTACCGTGCCCTATAATTGGGGATCGTGTGATCCCTGGCCCTCTACGGGCTCTTTGTAAGCCGAAATGCATCAAAAGACTTTTCCCGCCCAGGGTCGGGCGGGAGGGAGTGTCAGACTCTACATAAAAAACCCTTCCGTTCCTTTTCGTGCTCTGGGCCGAGGTCGCGTCGCCTCATTGGGGCTTTCCCCGCAACTCCGGCTGAACATCAGCCCTATACGGCCCCGTCTGTTGTGGTCTATTGGCTCTTTAAGGCGCGCGCAGAACGCTACGCGACGTACACTCGGGTTTGCTTCTGGTCGGGCGGCGAGCTATCCTTACGGTGGCCGGGGATCGTCTCTTGGTGTTTGATTAAATTAAACGTTCAATTTAAAAATGTATTACAGCACTGTGCCCTAAACAGCAATAGGATAATACGGTAGTTTCCAACTAGTCAAATTCAATACTTTTATCCAAATGTCAAAAACGATACTTTTCTATGAAATTTGTATGAAAAACTGAGTTATGACGTCATAGTATTTTTGCGTCAAATAGCTTACTTATTTCTTAATAATAAGCTACAAATTATTTAAAACGTAGTGTATCGATCGATCAATGAATCGTTAATAGTTATTTTTCAATATTTTATTGTATTGAAACGTCGAAATAATTTATTTTTGAAATATGAAACTTTACCTATTATCACCTACAATAAAGTCTTATTGTGATGCAATTAAGGTTGATATTAGAGTGTAACAAAATGACTAAATTTTTGCATACTATAGTGAAAGTCACGTATGGTATTCGTATTTTTCGCGTTACTTAGTTACGGTGTTGAACACAATAACATGGCATTTGAATATTGTTGACCCGAATCTTGTTGCGTGTTCTTCTTGGCATATTTCGGTGTATTAAAAGCATATCGGAATAATTTTCTGTTTATTGATTGAGGGTTTAAGTAGGTTGTACATCACCCCCTGTCTAGGTTTGGTAGAATTAGGCGTCTTAAGTAAACGTGTTGGTAAAATGGGAGTTATTTATAAATTATACATGTTGCTTATTGGCTTTATATAAAAATGTTTAATCTTGAATATTTAAAATACTATGTTAAGAAGTGATTTCAATACATTCATGTCAATCACACTTGTTCATAATGAACGTTCGTGGCGACGTCGCGCAACCGAATGATTAAGAGTCCCGTTGTGACTTGAAACTAGTCGAGCTTTTCTCAAATAATTCGCGTGGTTAGGTCGTTATTTTCAATAAATTTGTTTGTCTCACGATAGTTACTATTCAAAGCATGTCAACCAAGGTTCCGAGAACACATAAATAGCAAAGAAAATTAAGTATTTGTTTTTCATAAAAAACACATTTCTATCACGTCTTTTAGCGTATAAAAACATCAATAACAAGCCCCTACAATTTGTTTTTGTTTGAAGAATTATCCCTATTCAATGAACCGTGTTCGTTAACATATTTTTCTCTTTCATTCAAACCTTATTTATTTTGTGTATTCATTAAACATCGGTATGAAATTACCGTCGTAATGCGACTACTAAAAATACATTAATTTTATTTTTGTTCCTCATATTGGTAACGTTAACATCGTAAAACCATTTTGATGCCAATAAAATGTATAACCAAGATTTTGTTATATATGATATATTAAATTTGTATTTCTAGTATTGATACACGTGTCTGCAGGTTTACGTACGTGTCTGTTTACTTTGATAATACATTTTTTTTAATAACACATCAAGCTTTGGCGTTAGAATAAGGAAAGAAGGTTTAGCAGCACACCTTTACCTTTTTAGATGAATTAATAAAACACGCCACAAAGAGTAATCAAACGAAAAGTTGAATTTAGAATTCTATTTCGATTTTAAAAGGTGCCCGAGGGATCAGAAACTCAATTTCAACATTAACAACGAGCGAACCACAGCCGCATGCTAGTTTTGTGTATAAAGTTTTTATTGCGGCCCTAAAATATTTGCTTAACATATCTGTGGTTCGCCCAGATGTATTCCTTTGATGTTGTTTGTAACATTTTTGCGTGATTCCGTATACGTATTTCGGAATGGTAAATGAAATGGAATTAGGTCGTTTCTTGTACTAAAATGTACCTATTTGCATTTGTATTTAGAATCTAAACTTAATTGATTGGTTTGTTTTGTTAAGTAGCTATAGGGTAAATGTCTGCTTTCGTAGGGCAAAGTGTCGCTGAGAAGTGTTTGTCTAAAGGCCGAAATTAATAACCACTCTTCACCAAAATATCTGGATTTACTTACAAACTAACTTTATGATAGAAGATACAAGGTTGCGTCCAGAACCAGACCGCTCATGGCGTCATATTTTGCACGCGTTTCACACAATAATTAGAATATCATAGATGGGGCGACGTCCAGCAGGGGTTGCGAACCCAGCGTAATAATGACCCCACTCGGAAGCAGGAGTAGGAACGGGGTGGTATTATTTAGATTGGCAAAGGTACATAAGTCGTTCATGGGATTCTGTGTTAAATGTTATAACAAAATCCCAGGCGAAATACAACAATTAAATGAAAGAAATTTTAAATTATGTGTAAAGAAAACTTTATGTAGAAAAGCATACTACACACTGAATGATTACATTGTAGATAAAGATGCTTGGAGACATGATGGTCCTGCTCCACAGGATAGCAAACGTACACCAAAATAAATAACGTTCCAATGGATTTTGCTTGAACGGGACTTCTTCATTTTAGTGAAATTGCAGTATATTGTATAACTATAACTTGATAAATTTGTAAATGTGAGTGCCCTGTAACCTATTATAATTGGTTAGACTAGCAGAATGTCGGTCCTTATAACAGCTTGGAGTTGTCATGCTCACTGAAAGGTCACACTGGCGGTGGCATGGGCACTGGATCGCTTAATTCCCTATAATATGGTTGAGTTGGGCGATGCTGGTGTACGTGTCATGCTCGTGAACGAGCGCCGTCAGTTGGGACTGGTCAGCTCCAGACTGTCTATTGTCCTTAAGGTTACTTTATTTTTATATTTGAATAAATATTAGTGTTACACTGTTCTCACATAATTGAACCAACTGTTTGTAAAAGGAATCTGTATGTGAAACTGATTTAAAAAGAGTAACCATGGAGTTTCTTGCTCGTTCTTCTCCATCGGAATCTACACTTTGGAACGAGCAAATAGCTTCACTAAGAGGACTGACCGACAGACTGACACTATTTTTTATTTTAAATTTTGTTTGACGTTCAAAAGTGCCTGTAAAGGTCTAATTGGAATAAATGATTTTTGACTTTTTTGACTTTTGTTTAGTCAGTAAAGGTCGGAAACTCCCTCTGTGGTGTAGTGGCCCCAAAAGCGGGAGAAGACAGATGACGATACACTCCTCAAAAAAAGTCCAAGCAGTTTGAAGTGGGATATTAATGACCAATAAAGCTAAAGTTGATAGAAATAATCCGCTAAGCACCGTAGTATTGATTCCCCGTAGCTTGGCGGTTAGCGGTATGTCATTCAACATCCGGCTGACCAGATCAAGGCCGCGATAATGTAGTACATTGTCATTGAGAACATGTAATTATGTGCATTAATACTAAGGGACACTATTTAATATTTATCATATACTCTTTGACAGTTAATTCATGCCAAGAATCTGTTTTAATTTTTCCTCTGACGATTTCATTGCATGTGTTACTGTCAAGGTTAATTGAGGTGTTTGTTTGTTGTATTGTAATAAAGTATTAATTATATAATAGTAATTTTAAATGTTCAGTGCCGTAGAAGTTATATTTATGTTAATAATATAAGTAATTATAGCAAGATTTAAATTTTAAATGCAATAAGCATCAAGCAAGAGCGTTCGCTGAATACTATTCTTCTAGCTGCGGATTGTGCAGTGTGTAAAATGATATCATGGATCCAAGATCGACTCATTGTCCGCATCAATTCTAATTTTATAATTTATCTGATTCCAGGAAAACGAACCGCCTAGAAGAGGCTTTAAATATCTTCGACACGATCGTGAACAACGTTAACTTCAAAGGCATCTCGATCATCTTGTTCCTAAACAAGTCGGACCTGCTGGCGCGGAAGGTGGCCAGCAAGGAGACAGACATCCGCTGGTTCTACCCGCAGTTCGCGGGCGACCCGCACAACCTGCGCGACGTGCAGATGTTCCTGCTCAACATGTTCGCCAACGTCCGCCGGGAGCCCAAGACGACGCTCTACCACCACTTCACCACCGCCATCGACACCCACAACATAGAGGTCGTATTCAACTCCGTCAAAGACACTATCCTCAATCGTAACCTAGAATCGCTCATGCTGCAGTGACCGACCAAACGAACTGTAACGACGGAATTGTTAAATTGTGATATCTGGCAATATTCTGATTTCGTGATTCCACTTCGCGACTGTTTTCCATTATTGTGTATTGTTTCTATGATTTGCATAATAGTGTAAAACACATTTGAAAAGACAAAGAATGTGATGTTGATGATGGCCTAACGGTCTGTTAGAGCGGCTCTGTATAAATGTAATATGACATGTATTTATTTACCAAACGTATGGGGTTTGGTAAAACTATGTACCTTAGTGTAATGTATTGTAATTATAAAATTTGTATATCAGTATATTTATGACCAAAAATGTAGATTTTGCACGTGAACGATATTATTATGATCACTTTGATGATATGAACACGCGCGTCCACGCCGGATGGACGCTCCGTAGTGCAGTATCGTAACACGCAACACGTAAGTGCGCAATATTGTAAACGTAGTGAATTAGATAAAGTGCGGTAAGCCAGGGGGATTTTTGTACTTTTGCCGTTTTCTATAATGTTTTCTTGATGATTGTAGATTCTTTTATACTGATTACACTTTAACCAGCTTGCGATTGTACTAGTGATCGGCTTGACGGTTTCATTTGAGTAAATTATGAAAAAAATTGCCATGTAACCCTTATTAATGCCACACAATGGTATCGAAATTACCCGTGTTATATCACAGCTTGAAGCCACCGTTACTCCAATGAAGTGGTCAGGTCTCTTCACTTCGCAAGTAAATATCTCTCAATGTAGCAGTGCCAAGTCGTAGCACGAGGGAGGAGTGGGGTAGTGCCGACTGCCGCTATACCATATAGATGTAGATACAATGAGATTGCTCTTATAGGGTGCCACGAAGCAAAGCAAACCTTTGCGTTGGGAAGACTTTATATAAATCCCTCCCGGGAGTAAAAATGTATATAAATAACCATTGTTAGAGAAATCGTTTATAATCTGTGATTAAAAGTGTAAAAAGTATTAGGCTGTAAACAGCAACGAAATGTGTCACTTGCAGAAGGAAATGCTTTTTGACGTTTGACACGGTTGACATATGACGCTCAAATTTTTTAATTCAATGCGCTGATGTTGGTATCTTTTTGAGTCGGGTGTTCTCATCGAGTATTCCGTCCCTTGGCACAATTTAATGCAAATACGTGTAATCTCACTATAGCTTCTACGTATTTTTTAATTATAAAAAGTTTTGTACAATATACAAGATATATTTTAAAGGCGGGCACAAAGGTGTACAACCTTTTTGGTAATTTTAATGTGAATTTTAATCTGCACTTGCTTTTGTACGTGAGAGGGAATGATCTGATTTTAATTATTGTTTAAGTACAACGCATAATTTTCGATCATAATAATTATACTCATTTAGTTTTAAGTGTCATAAGCTTTAGCATATTTATTTTGAGATCGTCTACAACTATTGTTTATTTACGTGAGAGTTTTAGATAGAAGTTATCTATTTATTATGTGTACATTTTTATGGATGGTTTACTGAGGCTAAATGTGTAAATACCTCTTAACTTTATTATGTATATCGTTTCTTAGTATTTTAGTTTTAAAAAGATTCTTTTAATGTAATGGTCTGATCGGTTAGAAATGAATTGCGGATTTTATTTCCAATATCAGTGATAAATTTGCATTTAGTAGTGCCATTGTGTGGTGCAAACAGTGTTGCCACTGGAAAAAAACAAGCCTAACAATATACTGTCAACACTGCCGCGTAAATAGTCGTTGGAAATTTTTGAAATATCATCTGATTAATAAATTGAATATAAATATTGTAATACCTACAGTGCTATTTTATTAGAATCAATAGTTTGACAGATTTTGAATATTTAGACGTTTATAACGAAATAACTTGCATTGATGCCAAAGGTTGACTAACACCTGATGACGCGATGATATTATGTAATGTGTATACAATTTTTAGGTGCTCAGTATTGGTATCTGATAGCGCGCTAAGGCCTGGCTTCTAAGGTATTGTTTACACTTTTATACATTAACATAAGTCGTAAAACCTCCTTTCTTAATGATAAATTGTTTTGAACTTTATTACCGCGTTAATTGAACTCAAAATTTATTAATGTATATTCCTATTTTAATTAAATAATATTTTGTATTTGTAAAATTTTAATTGTAATTTATTGGCAACCGAAGAATTCTTTTGTTTTTTTTCGCTAGCAACGTTCCTCGATATTTTTATTATTGTTCTCCGATTGTGTAAGTCAAACCTTACTGTTGTAGATCCTTTAGACAAATAGCATAAAAGCCATACTGTTTGATATGTTTTATTGAAATAGAGACTAAAAAACAACATTTAAATTTTTAGTTAACAAAGCGTTTCTGCTGTTTTTCTATTACTGACGTTATCAAGGAAGCATGATGGCTACCGTTTTTTCGACACCAGACTGCCCTAATCTTGCAAGAGTTTATCGGTCCAATCACTTTAGCTGTCAAAATGAAACAACCAATGAGATGCTACAATGGAACACTAGCTAATACCCTATTGGATGTAAAGACGAGAAGTGCACACTAGCTACACCTGGCGAGAAAAAATGGTACCTATCTGTAATTACTGATATCTACAAGAAGTCAGGCCTTTAAAATGCAACACTACAATCTTGATGACTGTGTTATCTATGTATAAAAAGCCTTCATTGCACATTATCGCATAAGTCCTTGTTGTTAAGGTTCAGAATTGCGTAGCATTGGTATTGGTTGTGGTTATCAATAAATTATTACTAATGTTCGCATAATTTCTTAAGTGATCTGACACTCAGATTGTAATGCTAAACTATACTTTGCTATATTGTTTAAGAACTAAAGTTTCAAGGATTTCAAATCGCAAAATGTTCTTTCTTTTCTTTGAAACTGTATTTTTATTCAAACAGTGGTCATTGTCAATAACTTTTTGCGGATTTAGGATACATTTTGGATTTTAAATTGCCTGTTTTTAACATTGAATAAAACAATTATTTGTTTGCAATGAATATAGGTAAAAAATTTAAGTGTTACAAAGTTTTAAGGTTCCTTTAACAGACATGTAAACTAACATAAAAAAATATTTATCATCCAAGGATCCATTCTGGTACTGAATATTTACACTTGGCGAGTTTCGGTTTATACTGACCGCGTTGGCATTGAACTTGTTAACTATTTTTTTCTTGTAGCCATCTGTACAGAAATATCATTGATAATGGCCTTTAATACTTTTCTGTATACAGTTCTGAGTGTCAGTGAGAACTAAGTGATAGCACAACAAATTATACTTTAATCAAGTGTCAATAAAGTTAGCTTTTCAGTACTACATTCGTTACTATCTACAGGTTGAATATAGAATTATTTTACGAAATTACATCATCCGTTATACAACTTTTTTATATTTTGTTCCACCCTATATTTATTTGAAATCCTGGGTAATGAATATGAGGAACTTCATTATGCCAGTTTATCTCATAGTAAAGCCAGATTGTAGCCCAGGAGAAGAATAGTAAACGGAAAGTAGGGGGGGGGGGGGAGAAGACATTTGATGATTTAAAAGTATAAGTAGTTTGATGCGCAACCATTTTTTTTTTCCAACAAATACCGATGAAGTGTTATGACCAACCAAACGACATAAGTATCAATGAAGGCTTTTATACACGAAACAGAAAAATCACTTTATGTCTTAGACATAAGGATGGTTTTCCCAAATAAGGGCGTAATTCAGTGAATGAACTGATTATTGAGTTGGAAAGTTGTATTAGTGAGAATGTGGGTCTCAAATCGGTAGCGATTAAGTCAAGGTGTGATTTATACAATGCTGTTGTAGTAACTGCTGCGTGGAACATTGTTTTGTACTATTTTTCTAATGTAAGATATCTTTATTCGATTTTCAACTTTAAAGTGTTGTAATAAAGTTGAAAATCTATTAAAGAAAAATTGGATCTGATGATTTAGTATTTTAAACGTTAATATTCCGATTTAAGGTTCATTTTTGGGTGGAAGTTGTTGATTTGGACATAACATTTGGCGTTCTGGTATTTGTCAGCAATATCTGCTCAATTTTAATATAGTTTGAGCAATCAACTTGTTCTATTGATGTCTAAAGCTCAATATTAGATAAGTTATTCATCGTAGATTTGCCATTTTAGATTGTTTTTACATAAATATAAGATTGAATGTTCAATGTTATGCCAAATCGATTCTAAAATTGAATGAGAGCTAATGTTTTTCTTGTTCACTAGATGGCGCTTTTTAATAGTGTGAAACATGTCTTATAGAGAATTAACTAGCTCTCAAACCAATAAGCTAACATTTTTGACAAAACAGACATTGGACTTGCACAATACTTTGAAAAATTAACTCAAAAATGAAATTCATCTAAGCAATATCTTTTATAATAAGTTACTTAGGAGCGGACGAGTTTTCATACTAATTACCTTTACCTATACCAATTTTAATTAATTTTGGTACTAGTACGGAATATGTCAAGATCTAAAAACTTAAGTGCATTTTCGAAATATTCTTGAATACAGCAGTTATTTGTGCTGTATGTGTATATGTAAACTTTACATTGCTTTTTCTGACTTTTATGAGAATGCACTTCAATAAGTTTTTGGTCTATGATAGATTACGCATTAGTACTAAGTTCCATTGAAATTTACTCTGGTTTCCGTGCGACGTAAACGCTCATAAAGCGACAGAAAATGTTCCACGCAACACTGGTATATAAGCAAGCTTTGGGTGCCAATCGTTTTGCTCGAAATATCCGCAATTGTGAATATATAAATTATAAAGCATTGTTAGGCCTATGGAATATTTCGGTAGTTGAAGCCCTAAAGCCCTAAGCCCTAAGGATGTGGTTGCTAAGTTAGTTGTACGTTATGAATTTTAAAAACATATGTTAGGAGTCATTTTACACTCATGTTGACGAATGGTAGAGTGTTGACAATATCTTTTGGAATTCCTCTATATTTTGTATACAGCCCAATATTTATTGTACAGTGTAATAAAACACCATGCATGTATAGTTTTTTCGTTTTATTTTTTCTTTTACGCTGGGTCAATGAAGTTCCGATGTTCTTGTGTTTTGTAAGAATTTGTAAACCCGCCAAATGCGACTTTTCACTCCGCACCCTGCGCACGAAGAAGTCTTAAATATGTATTTGGTGTTATCGCTGAAACAGAAATACGTTGGAAGTGAACCTATTATGTATATGTCGCAGTAAGATAGATGTAGCCGTAATATAGTTATATCCCTAGGGATATAATTATATACCGGGACATAGTTATACGAAAGCGCTTCATTACTATCTTACTAGGGATTTAGTTATAAAACGGACCAAGTTTAGGGATATACTTATATTACTAGATTAAGTCCAGTGATATAGCTTCGGAGTGTGCGGCGCAGGTGACGCGTCCGCTTTGGTGGCCAAAGTCATTTAAAATGTTCCTTCAAAAAATCAAACACACAATGTTCTACTAAAAGATATGCCTGTAAGAAGCATTCAGTGCTATGTAATTTTGACTATCATGATTCCTCTTCTTAATGGCAAAATTGGAACAAAATTAAGACCAGTATTGGGTAAAACACGAAATAAATAATGGGTTTTACTCCGTGATGCCTATCAGGTAAGTTCAGAAAG